AAATAATTTACATACTCATACAAAAAGTGGTTTCTGAAATTTGAACAGAAACATGGCTAAGTTCCTGTACACCCCTGGTCTCAGAGAAATCTGCAAAGCAACCCAATAGAATCACTTACAATCTGTCTGCTCTTAATCACAGTTAGGACTGGACGGGAGAGAATATTGTATTATGAATAAATAAAATGCCAAAAGGTCAAGTAAATACCAACTTTAAAGATCCCATGACTAAAATAAAAATTATTTTTAAAACTAAAAAAAAAAAAAAAAAAAAAAAAATCAATAACTTTCCAAAGAAAATTTAAAAATATTCAAGGCTAAGTTTCTTTTCTCCAATTCCATTTTCCTTTATGCTGTTCATTTCACACCCAGAATTCGAATCTTCCACATGTGAGTCACACAAGAATGAACCACACCTTAAGTGGGCAGAGCCTACATTTGCACAGCGGGTTTTCATCAGCCATGCTATTAAAGATGTCTGGTTCCTCCGAAAACTGCCGGTTACTTCAATTACAACTACCACCCCAACAATGCTCTGGAGCTATCAAGTTGTATTTGAAAAGTGTACTTCTGGAAGGCCAGAGTAAAAAGGAATGGCATCCAAGCCAGCTGTCCTGGGATTCATGCAGACATTCCCAACCCTGAAGAAGCTGCGGCCAGAGAGCCTGAGGGCAACGGAAGTGTGGGCCCCCAGCCCCATCCCATCTCTGCTTCCCAAGCACAGCGTCCATGGACGAAGAGGGGCTTTAAGTGGCTTGAGGTCTGACCATATCTATTCAAAGGTGGTCACCAATTTATAATCTGGGCAACTATTTTAGAACTAAAGTTACCACCACAACCACCTTGAACATTTGAAACGAAGGGTTTGCTTCCCAGCTCACACTTCACCTTGGGCTTTCTCCTCTCTGCCAATGGCCTAAAGACAGGTTTATTTATTTCCTTTCAAGGTCATTAAAAATATTTTTATTTACTTATTTATTCTTGTGGTGCTGGAGATTGAAACGAGGGTCTTGGACATGCTAGGCAGGCTCTCTACCATAGAGCTTCGAGATCATTTTGCACTTACCTTAAAACCCCGATATTTAGTGACCAATTAGTGATTTGGGGTTCCCCCCTCTCCTGTGCTTTTTTATTACTTTGAATCAACTATTTCAAGTGTGCACAATGGGATAGAGAATAACATTAATGAACTCCCGTGTACTGGGTACCAACCATGTAGCATGAAATTAACATTTTGCCATATTTACTTCAGCTCTTTTCCCAGAGGTCTGTTGGAGTTGACAGCCACTTGTGCATCGCCCCTCAACATTTCAGAAGGCTTCTCTCCTCCTCTCCCCAGAGACAGCCACTCCCCTGGTGTTAAACATGCTCGTGCATTTTAGAAACATTTTACAGTCGGCGTTAATGATGGATATGCATATTGTATTGTGTTTTTATACATTATATGAACGGCACCACCAAATACAATTATTCTGCAACTTGCTTTTTCACTCAGCATTGCATTCACTGCAATTATTTTGAATTCCAGTATATGAATACACCATAATTTATTTCTCCATCCCCTACTGGTGGACAGTCAGGTGGTTCCCACTTCTTTACTCTTACAACAATGCTACAGGAGGGCTTGTCCACGTCTTCTCGGGTGCACACCGGAGAGTTTGGAAGGAAGGCCCTAGACGCAGGCTGCGGAGTGTGCACATCTTCACCTTGTCAGACTGCTCTCCAAAGTGACTGTGCCAACTTATACTTTCTCCAGCCGAGTAGGAAAGATTCCTTTGTTCCACATCCTCTCAAACACTTGGTATTATGAGGTTTTTAAGTTTTTGCCAATCTGATGGATATGAAAGAGAAACTTGTAGTTTTTAATCTGCATGTCATGTGAGGACAATCACGTCCTCATAAATGCTTACGGACTATATATGGATCATTTAAGATTTTCAACTTTCACATTCTCCTTTTATCTGATCATCGCCTTCACAGTGATTAACATACAGACTCTGTATCCGGGCTGTTTGGGCTCAAGTTCTGGCTCCGTGTCATCCACCTTGTGTCTCTGGACACTTTGCCTCCCTCAACCTCAGTTTTATCACCTGTGAAGAGGCAGCAGCACCTATCTTACATGATTGTAAGAGCTTTATGAGCAAGTATGCGTGCAAAGTATAGAATAGCACCAGCCACGTTATAAGACACAGTAAATTTTGATCATTTTGGAGAATTATCTTGCCAAAGCTATTTTTAAAAATTGAATGCTTTTTAGTGTTTTAACTTATATTTTTAAAACATTTTTAGGGGTTATTTGAGACGTTTTAGCATTCATGACTTTAACCCTATACTCTTCTTTTTCAGTATTTAAAATATCCCACTTCTGGTCTCTGGCAGCTTAATCCTTGCTTTTATACAACAGTGCACAGGAAGCTGGCCCTGTGGAACAACTTGTATTCTTGCCCAAACTGGGGCAGAGTGGGAACTTTACCCCACAGCTGTCAGCCAGATTCCATGGCAGACCCAGCAGCCCTCAGATGTGCAAGCTTCGAAACTTCTCAACCTCAGAACTCAGCTCAGAGCTCTCCTCAGGGCATGAGTCCTCTTGCATTGGTGGCTCATCTCAACTACTGGTAAATGTTCCTAAGTTGTATCATCTACACTTGATTAGGAGTTAGATGTATTATAACATATATACTAGATTTTCAGGACTTTGAAAACATTCCTTTTCGTACTTAGCAAATTGTGAGAAGGCAGGAAATACCAGCAATACCAGTGGCATAGCTTTGCATATTAAAAAGGCATGCAACGCATAAAGGTCTTTGCCTCGTAAGAACGAGGGGCTCTCAATGTTACTGATGGGCCTCTAGTGAAAACAGGCAGTGTTCAACCACACACTCGACTATCAGGATAGGGGATTTACCGTGCTCTTCATTTTTGCCTCACCAAGCTACCTGCCTTCTGTCTCTATGCTTTCATCCTCCTCCTGTTGCCACAAGGTTTCAGGAGGATCCTCCTCAGGTGTCGGGCACTTAAGAAAGATCAGAATCTCCCTAGTTCACTTTGGCTCTCAGAGCTGGAGAATGGATGACCTTCTGGCTGGCAAGCTTTCAGACAGGTGCCTCAATTTCCTTGAGGCGAGCAAGGTTGCAAACCTATTCATCTCATCTTAACAGAGATCCACCTTCCACCAGCAAAATTACAGGCAACTCTTGGCCTAGCCAGAGGCCGTAATCTCAAGATATCTGCTGCTCATTTCTAGTCAGAATCACCTGAGGACAGCAGTACTGAGGACGCCTGTCAAGGCCATTCACTCCTCTAGACCGCACAGCCTCAGATTATCCATGCCAGAGCCATCTGAAAGCTGCATAACATTAACACAGTGGGATTCTCCAAGGTGGGTGGATTACTGCTGACTTCTATTTTTTTCTTTTTATACTCTGCTATTTTCCTAATTTTCTACCACGACAATGTGTTTTGTTTATAATTTAAAAACACAGTAAATGTTATTTTTTAAAGCTACATACTTGAAATATGCTACTTTACCCCATCCACCTTCCTGTGTAAGTGCTTTTACTGAAAAAGTGATAACAGGAACTCATTTTCTGTGATTTCACAAAAGACTTATTTGTGAAACCCAAAACTGCATTTTCAAAGGAAATTTCCAAAGAATTTTGCTGGGCATTTTCTCTGCTCTATCACCATTAACATTATAAGTAAGCCACATAAGAAATTTCTTTCGTAACAAACACTTTCACCCAAACAACTGGGAAAATATTTTCACCAAACAACTGGTGTTCTGCTTCTTGGTGAACAATGAGAATCAAGGAACTCGTCAAGTTTTCCTTTCCATTTTGGGCAACAGAAGGTCAGAGGAAAACATGAATTGTACCTAATATCCGTGCAGGACCATATGCCCACGCAGCCTGGTTCTGAGGATGTCGGGGTCTAACTTGGTTTGCAGTTTGCTGTGTTGTTAATATTCTTCTACTGTGTGGATGTGTTCTGGATTCCACCCTACTCTTCTACAATAAGGCAGGACACAGTTACATACAAAAGTTTCACTACCTAATACTAACATTTATAATGTGTCATAAAAATCTTAAACTGAAAGACAACAAAATGATGCTGTAGTCTTTTTTTTTTTTTTTTTTTTTTTTTTTTTAATGGATTGAACTTGGGACCTTACACCCTGCGTTGCGAGGCAGGTGGTGGCACCACTGAGCTAAATCCCCAGCCAGGTATCATCTTTCTTAATCTTTCTAAACTAGTAAATAAGAACTCAGCTGATATTCAACATAAGGAACTAAGAATTAATTATGATTCTACACTCATAGTAATACCATTTCACTTATGAAGGATATTTACTTCATTTTCATATGGCTGTGGGGAGGGTCACAGATTTAGTTCAGTGGTTCCAGTGCTTGCCTCGCAAGTGCAAGGTCCTGAGTTCAATCCCCGGTACCAAAAAAAAAAAAAAAATCCATCATATGGCTGTGGGGTAGGGGGTACTTGGAATTGAGTTTAGGGCTTTATGCATACATGACAAGTGCTCTACAACTCAATTACACCCTCTCTGCCATACTTATTTTTTCATACCCGAGAAAATACAACAAAATGATTCTTCCACAACTATACAGATGAACAGAGCACAAGAATGTACAGTAAGTAACAAGCATAGCGTGGTATCATCAGATTACATCTATGTTCACATCTTGGCATCACTACTCACTAGAGGGATGAACTGGTACACGGGTAAAATGTGGAGAACAACACAACCACCTTATTAAAGTTTCTGTAAGATACACATGAGATATTAAAAATAACATACAACATGGTTACACTCAATCAGCTGCTGCTGTCACAGTTATCATATAGAAAGCCTCCAGAGCTCTTTTAATAATTTATTTCTACCAAAGAACTATTCAAAGATTTTCTTACATACCTGTAAAGAGAAGTATTTCCCGAAAAACAGGTATTTAGCACAGTAATTCAGCGACTGGAGTACTGAAACTCACCTTAACTGTCCGGTACGAAGAAAACAAAGAGCTCGGTTACCATAAAGAAAGTGGTTGTCAGGTCTTAAAAAAGAAGAAATGTTTAGTCAGTAAAGCCCATTATATATGAAACTAGAACAGTACTGAAAATACAAAACATGAAAAAACTTTAAAACTTGTCATCTGTGTGGCAGAACACAAAGAATATATACTATTTAGTCTTAACTGGCTAAATCTCAATGCCTCAGCTCTCTCAGTAACCCTGCTCAAACCAATCCTGTATTCCAAATGAAGATAATTATTGCTCTGTCCAGCCCAGGCCTGCTGTGAGAATCTAAGGAGACACACTGATAGACTAGCCAATTGCAAAGCATGCTGAAACTGTGGAGGACAGGGTCACATAGGTAAATTGGGACTGTGCCACCTCAACAAAGAACTTGAAGCCTGCAAAGTCTAACCATAATGTAAACAGCTGTATTTCAAATTTTGTTCCTTTTAGCTTCATCTGACTTTGTGTGATCAAAATGAATTCTCTTTTCTCCACCTCTTCCTCGGGAGAGTACAGCCACACTTGTGTGCTGTGTGCTAACTCGGCTTTCTCATTCCCTGTGGAAATGAGCAAGGGTAAAAAGGGACCAGAGCTTGCACAGCAGGCTTCAACGGCTGCTCCACTGTGTGCCCCACCAGTAGAATCACCAGGAACAGAGCGAGCACACCAGGCAGCCACAGCATGCTAAAAGCTAAGCAATAAGCCAGGACAGAGAGAGAGAGAGAGAGCACATGGATTGTCTTAAACTATTTTCCTTTTAAAGTTCCCTATACAAAAGCAAACACTCCTGAATGGGTGGCATTTTAAGTATTAAGAACTACTCCTCCTGACGTTTCAGAAGGAATTAGCTGATGACAAAATGAGAGCAAGAAAGAGTAGATGACTGTGCTGGACAACCTGAAATGAAAGGGAGCGGGCTACCTCCATGCTACCAGTGCCCAAAGATGAGAAAATCTGTTCTGCACAGCCAACTGCAAGATACTCTGCAATTCCTCATCTTACTTTTACTTCTCTTGACCAACACTGTCTGCCACGTTAAAAGGATCCCATTTTCTATGTTACACTTACCTATATTCGAGGGCTCTGGTGTAATAGATAATAGCTATATCGAATCTTTCATTGAAAAATTCTTCATTTCCTTTTATTTTCATGAGTTCTCCTTGCTGAGGAACCAAGGTGAGACAGAACCCATCAGTCAGTTCCAAAGACAATCAAGAACCCAATACCCCCAAAAAATGGCTCGATTTCTATCCTTGATTTCAGAAATAACCTAGGAGAGTGATGGCAAACCCTCAGAGATGGGAGTGATAAATGCAACCCAAAGCCCACTTATTTATTGCCAAGTGCCAACACTCAATTAAACCTGAATACTGAGGTTTAGTTTAGAAAAATAACTCATACATTAGCATAGTTTGTCTTAAAAAAATAAGTAACATACATGCCATAGGTTCCCCACCCCTGACCTAGGGGATTATTCATGTGAAAATGAGAATGCAGCATGTAGTACTTTGGTATATACAGCCAGCCCTCTGTATCCATGGACTTTACATTTGCAGATTCGACCAAGCACAGAACAAAACTATCTGGGGGAAAAGGTCTGTTCTAAACACACAGACTTTTTTTTCCCTTGTCATTACTTTCTAAAGGACACAGCACCACAGCCGTTTACACAGCATTTCTATTGTGCTACGCAACACAAGCAGTCTAAAGAGAACCAAAGGTACAGAGCAAGTACACAGGTCTCTCAGCACCTACTATGTAAATTTTCATACGGGATGGGGGTTCTCGCAGAACCAATCCCCCTCAGATACTGGGGTGACAGTATAACATTTAATTCTCTGATGACTCCATTAACTTCAAAAAAGAAACATTAAAGTAAGGAAACCAGCATGTTATAAATAATTACTAAAAAATGTTTCATTTGTGTGCAATATCAGGCAGGCATACCCTTAAATACAACTTATCTACACAGAAGGTAGAGTAGCCTTAAAATCAGATACGTAGATCCTCACAGACACTAGGGATTAAACCCATGGCCTTCCCACTGAGCTATATCCCTAGCTCTCTTTTTTTTTTTGAGAGAGGGTCTAAGTTACCCAGGTTGGATTTGAACTTGTGACCCTCTTGTCTCAGCCTGCCAGAGTGCCAGGATTATAGGTGTGCACCACCACACCTGGCTGCAAGATAGAGTTTTAACTTTAGGTTAGCAAATGTGATACTCAAAAAATTTTACTGCTTAAACATATGGTTAGTACCATACAGGCCATGTTCATTAGGTCAACTGCAATGACATGGCAGGTTTGCAAGAAAATATATGAAAGATACCACAGATACATTCAAAACTTTTTACTTTAAGCACTCAAACTTTACAAAATGAATTAATTATTTAAAAGAAAATGGATTGATATAAATGGCTTTAGTATGAGAATTCCATAGAATATTGAGTATTTTCCTCAAAAAAAAATTTTTTTTTTTTTTGTACCAGGGATCGAACTCTGGCCCTTGCACTTGCGAGGCAGGCAGTGGGACCACTGAGCCAAATCTTTTTTTTTTTAATTGAATTAAAATAATTTCTCTGAGTGAACTGTATGGCATGTAATTGTATCTCAAGCTGTTAGTAAAGTAAATCATATTTCCTCAACTAATTAAAAGGCTATGGTTGGAAAAAAATCAAATTTTAATCAATTAACATTTTAAGATTAGAAAATTCTGCTTATTTCTTCTTTAAAAAAACTTTTACATAATAATGTACTAAAATTTCCCCTAGAACATTATTCAGTTTTATAGTAGTTCCTTATATGCTGCCAGGAAGCCATTTTATTAACTGATTATTAATAGTCCTCTGATCAACAAAAACTCAAATAGGCAAACCATAAAAATATTTACAAGTAAATATCCTCACCTCTATACAGTGAGCACAATTTTGAGTTTTAAATTCTTCAAGTAAATTGCAGTTTTCCGTTACAACTTTAGTTATATGATACTTGTCTATTTTTAGGAGAGAGTAAGAAAGAATATTTGTTAAATATAAAAAAGAGTATTAATGATATCATAATTCTTAAATTAAGTAGGAGACCAAAAACAATTTCATTATACTTAAATAGCCTATGCTTTTAATTTTTGTGTATTAAATAATATATTTTAAAAATAACTGATAAAATGGTACAGAAGAGATTTGTTTGCTGTGAATTTGATGTTCTTATTTTTAGCAATTAAAGTCCCCTTTGCTTATTTATTATTCATTAGCTATTACTGTGGTTACAACAAATGCCCTGCCACAGCATGTTCCAAACAGGCTCGTTGTTACCCAAGTCACTGCTGCAGACACTGCTGAGTCCTTACAGTGCACCGACACAAGACTGGATAAAGATGTGTAACACAAAAGCCTGCAGAACTCTTTTCTATTTTCTTCCTTTCCTTTCCCTCTTTTCCCTCCCTCCTTTCTCCCTCCCTCTTCCTTTCTCTTCCCTTCTTTTCCCTCCCTGCCTCTCTCCCAACCTCCCTTCCTTGCTTTTGGGATATGGGAGAGAGGATCTTGCTTTGTAGTCCAGGCCAGTCTTGAACTTGCTATGTAGCCCAGGCGGGCCATGAACTGACAAGCCTCCAACCTCAGCCTCCCAAGTATTTATAAAACTATTTTCTAAAATGTATTTATAACAAAGTATTTAAAATGTCTTTATTCAGTGTCACTTTATGAATGAAATGTTAATAATGAGAAGTTATTTGAAACACTATTCTTATGAAAATTTAATAAACTATAATAAGTACCTGAACTTGGCATAAAAAATTAGACATCTTTTGCATTTTAAGCTATTACATAAAAAGGATTTTAAAAAATACAATTTAAACTTTTATTACAGAATTAAAAGAATCATTCCACAGTGAAATATGCACACCCATGTTTATAGGGGCACAGTTTGTAATAGCTAAAACTTGGAAACAGCCCATTTGCCCATCAGTTGGAGACAGGATAAGAAGATGTGGTTTTTCTATAAAATGGAATACTACTCAGCCATAAAGAATGAGATATTAGAGAAATTCATAGAAAAACAGATGCATAGTGAGGTTATATTCCTAAGTGAAATAAGTCACACATGTGATCACATAGTTCTCTAGTGTGAAAAAAACTGTGACTGTAAATAAGATCCTAATGGTATAATTGACAATGTGTAATAGGAAGAAAAGGGCTAAAGTTGTAGGGGAAGTAGGAAGGGTAGGGGAAAGGAAATAAGGGAAAAGAAAAAATACAAGAAAATGAAAAGAAAGTGTTTATAAATAGGGAAGGGAGGAAGGGGTGAAGGGAGGGCAGGGGTATGGGGAAAAACTGAGAACTAAGACCTGTCATGTAAAGGTACAAGATCCCAATGATGAATGTAACTGTACTGTATACCTAAAATGTACCAATAAACTCAATGAGAAAAAAAATTTTTATTACAACAAAATTATAGTTAAGCCTTTAGCCAAAAATATTAATTTCTAAGGTGACAAGAATATCTAAAATTTTTAAATTCAAGAAAGGATCTGGGAATGTCAACAAGTAAAATAACACTAAGGAAAAGAGCAAGACTACAGGAGGAAAACTTGGGCTTCTCAATCAGAGTCCTGATTTGTCATCTAGGTTCTACAACATACTAGAAAGCAGAAATACCACTTAACCTCTCAAAGTTTTAAGTGTGCTCAGTTGTACGACAGATATTAACAGCCACTGTGCAGGGCTATTATAAAGAGGGGACAGGAAACAGAATCAGAAATGAGCCCACATGGTACTACCAGTGATACTGCTTCTCTACTTCCACCATAAGAGCTAGTGTATTCATTCATGAAATGCCATTTAAAACATTGAGATTCTAGCTCACTCCCGAAAGAATGGCTGCTATCAAGAAATCAACCAATAACAAATGCTGGGGGAACTGTGGGGGGAAAGGAACACTTTTGCACTGTACTGTTGGTGGGAGAGCACACTGGTACAACCACTGCGGAAATCAGTGTAGAGATTCCTCAAGAAACTAAAACAAGAGATTCCATTTGACCCAGCTATCCCTCTTCTCGGTATCTTCCTGAAAGAATTAAAAGCATAATACCCCGATATATGCACAGTCACATTTATAGAAGCATAGTTTGTAATAGCAGAATCTTAGAAACAGCCCAAATGTCCCATCAACTAACAAATAGATAAAGGAAATGTGATTTTTTTTATACAAGGGAGTACTACTGTGCCATAAAGAAGGACGAGCTTCTGGCATTTATAGCTAAATGGATGGACCCTGAGACCATACTCCTAAGTGAAATATATCAGACACACATTTTTAAATACTGTATTGCTTCTCTGGTATGAGAAACTGAAAGTGAAAATAAGGACTGAATGTATAAAAGATACTGGGAAATGGGAAGAAAGTGGTCAAATGGGAAGAGGAACAAGGGAGAGAAGGGAAAAGGAAGGAAGGGATAAGAAACAAAATGAAAATGGAAGGAAAAAATGGAAACAAAGCTTTTGTACATGGGGACAGGAGGAGACTTGGGGGGAATGGGACAAAATAAAATAAAATTTATTTTTAAAATAATAAAATCTAATGTATAATTAAAAGCCTCTGAAAGAATACAGAGAACCTCTATCAGTAAATACATCCCAATGTGTAACAAACCCACCAGAAAGATCTGCCTGTATTCAAGTATAATTCCTCTTTACTGTTTATTAGCAAAATTTGTCCTTTCCTCAGTGGAGATGGCAAATAACTGGTCATTCATTATCTACTAACGAGCCAAATATTTCCTGTTTCAAGATTCCCATAAGTGTATGAGAAAAATACTGCTAACATTCAAATGCTTTAAAGACAAAAGCATTTCATAAAGTAAAAGAAATATGTAAGGCAGTTTCTTTACATAGAAAAGAATAGGTTCATCGAAAAATTTAAATAATGTTAGTGACATTTATTTTTCCTTATGAATAAGTATACATGAACCTTGGCTGTGGACTTAGAATCTGAGTAAGATATATAGCAATTTATGATATCCATTAGGCAGGATTTTTAAAACTATGATATCACAACAATCACTAAGTCAGTAAATGGAGAATAAAACTAACTATATTAAGTTTCTCTGATTCAGGGTTTATAACAGAAAAACAATTTTTAAAAATTCCTAATATAAATGAGAAATTACACTGACTGCACAGTCCATTTCCCAAGTCATACCTTTACAAATAGTCAATAATTTATAGCACTTATACTTACATTCAGTAAAGAAAATTCTTAATAAAGGCCAACTAGTGTCAATTGATCCTAATTTAGACAGAATTGTTACATCGCCTGTGTATTTTATCCAGTTTAAAGCTTCTTCCATTGCCAACATTTTCTGTTTCAAAAAGAGAAATGAAGAATAGGATTTGGGTATTAATTCTAAATTTGTATGTGGCATTATAAATTTATCTTACACAGTATTTTCAGATCCTGAACACAAAGCTTAAACCACCTCATATATTCATTACTCCATCATGCAATGGAAACAGCTAAACTCTAACACAGAAGTTAACAGAAACGTGACAGGGATATGTTAATTTCCAGGTGACCTCAGGCCATTCTCAGAGCTCAGGATGTGTCCATAATGAGCACAAACCTGGAAGCTGAGGTTTACAACATAGCAGACTGCCCCAGGTACCAGGACAGCACAACAGCTGGATTAAGGTTCTCAGATCTCATATAAACTAGGGCTTCCACCTTCCCCGAGGTTACAGGTGTAGATTAGGGTTCCCCACGAGGACTACATATCTTATATGGCCCCTGACAAACAAGTATCACGAGATAAACATCAAGAGCAGGGTGTGGGGGCCAGCACGTAGCTCAGTGGCACTGCCTGCCTGGCCAAGTACAAGGTCTTGAGTTCAATACCCAGTACTGAGAAAAAAAGGGAAAGAAGGGTGTGACTGGGCAAATGGGCACTCAGTACAGTGATTCTCATGAAAGTTCAAGAGTCCACAGAAACATTACTACTCTTCCAGTGTCTGAAGTTACATCAGAGATTAAATAGCTGAGTTGCTATTGTTGGTATCAGGGTTAAGGGAAACAAAAGTCACTTATATAATTATTAACATTAAAATTGGTTTATCAAACCTAGAGATTACCTAGCAATTAAATATCAAAATATATTCATGGCCAGGGATTTTTTTTTTTGGGGTGCGGTTGAGACAGGGTCTCACTATGTAGTTAAAACTGACCTGGCACTATGTAGCCCAGGCTTGTCTCAAACTCACAGCGATCTTCCTGTCTCAGCCTCCCAGTGCTGGGATTATAGCCACACCCGGCATGGCCAGGGATTTAACTTAGTGGTTCTGCCTTGAAAGCACAAGGACCTGAGTTCAATCCTGGTACTAAAAATAAATAAATAAAGGTGTGTGTGTGTGTGTGTGTGTGTGTAATACTTTCATTCTGGGGAATATATGCGAAGCAGTCTAAAAGAGAAAAAAGAATTAACATAAAAGAGGCTTAAAATGACACTACAAATAGGAGTGAAAAAATGAAAATGAGGCAAGCCTGCAAAATAACATCACTGAATTAAAACACAAAAATCAGTATTAGAAAATACTACAGATAACATGTTGAGTTTCAGGACTCGATGCTGAGAAAGTGACCAGTGAGATGACTGCCTTCATTCACAGTGAGCATGCCAGTTTCCAGCATTTAATACTTACATTTTCTATTTTATAACCAATTTTCAATAAGCCTTCAATAAGGAATGAATCATTCTGCAAAATAAAATAAAAAAAGAATAAAAACACATTTTTTCCTCATTCCACCAATTATACTTGAATATTCTAATGAAAAAAATCCTTCATTTTAGACTCAGGCCTTGCAGATGACATTTTGGTCATAGTGAACCACAAAAAGAGGACATAACCAAGTTGAAAAGTCCCTGCTGGTACGTCAGAACCATGACATCTGCTATCCATGATCAACTCACTAAGGAGAACACCCACGGACAACAGAATAACCTCAGCCTTACAAAAACTAAGCCCACTGTATATCAACTGCTATAAACTGGTAATACAGGCCTGATACTGTATAATTTATATGTGGTTAGGAGAGCTCTGTATTTTACCACTTACCGAAACTTTCTTTGCCAAATCCACAATATCTTCCATCAACTCAAGACATTGTAATTTCCTCAAACTTATCTCAGAAGCGCGAGAACTGCTTAAAGAAAAAAACTTTTAAATTAGGTTCTCATACATACAAATTTATTGAACTTTATGATTAACTGTGTTGGATAGCAACTAAAACTAGGTTAAAAAATTAAATTCTTTTTTTCTACACTGTAGCTTACAATAAGTTAGCTAGTTATTAAATACACCAAATACTGCTTTTTTTCTTTCCTGTACTACAATACTGATATTTATAAAGGTACATAGTTCCTGGCTCAGCAATGAACCCAGGATTTAATACTATTCAGAATTTATTCATTATAATTCCACTTATATTCAAAACCCAAGCATTTACTTTTTCTACCCAATTAAGCAAAAATAAAACTGAAGAGCAGGCAGGAACAAGGCATCACACACTGTGATGGTTTGTGTTCAGATGACCCACAAAGCCTCAAGCGGATGAGGAGGGACTTTCTTTTTCAGAGGTAGTCAATCTGGAATGCGGGATGCTGGGGTTAAGGGTTAAGGGCATGTGATTACTAAACACTACACACAGTGATTACCTCATGTGGTAGACTAAGCTGTTAGCCTGTCCTAAGTAAAAATCAAACAACTTCCATGTTGACCCACTGATCACCCCATCAACACAATTATGTCATTACCCATGACAACAAATTTACATAAAAAAATAATCTAGGTCATTACCCAATAACATTATATTACACTATTGTTACATTCTCCTCTCAAAGTTTATGATTAACTATTTCCTCTTACAATTTTACAGTTTTTGCCTTTATAAACTGCCTATATCTACAAATAAATGAAACCTTAACAACTCTGCTTGGTCTCCTTCTTTCCACACCCCTCTTATCTCATTTCCAAATACTTCCCCTTCTCAAACTCTACCAATTACTAACCCCACAAACCGGGACAAGTGGCGCCCAACGTGGGGCTCGAGACACGAGGTCTTCACCTGGTAGATGCTGCTCGGAAGATCGGCCAATCGACTCATAAACAATCCGCTCAGACCCACTCGTCTGAGAAAGTGACTATACATAAACAATCCACTCAAACCCACCCGTCTGAGAAAGTGACTGTGCATAAGCAATCCGCTCGGACCCACCCATCTAAAAAAGTGACTATACATAAACAGTCCACTCAGACCCACCCATCTGAAAAAGTGACTATACATAAGCAGTCCACTCGGACCCACACATCAGAAAAAATGACTATACATAACAAGTCCACTCAAACCCACCCATCTAAAAAAGCAACCTGCGAAATAAGTAAACAACACAAACGATGGGACAACAGATTAATAAACATAAAATTTTTATTCAAGACTTAAAGTCCGCTCTCAGGGCGCGGGGAATTCAGGTTAAAAAAAAAGATCTAATCAAATTCTTCAAATTTATAAAAAAAACCTATCCTTAATTTCCCCTTGAGGGAATTATTAATGAAAAACGTTAAAATAAAATTAGAGATTATTTTTATAATTATTATAAAATCTTTAGACCTGAAAAAATCCCAATACAGACCTTCTCTTATTGGAATATGATTAATAAAATTTTACAATAAAAACAATTCCATCTTAATATAAAGGGGGCTATTTCTACATCCAAAAATTTTTTAAAAAATAAATTTTCCAAAAACCAAACCTCTCCTCTTCCCAACTCCCATACCCCTCCTATCTTTAATCCCCCTATCCCTCATCATTCTTCTAATCCCTCTCCTTACCCTTCTATTATTATTCCCATAACAAATCCAGAAACCCCCCATTCACCACATCCTCCTCTAAAACCACAATCCATCTATCCTATCTTGACTAAATTTAATGTTTCTTTAAATACTGATCAAAGTGCCCCTAATTCCAACCCTCTTCCTAATTCCAATCCATCTTCTACCCCACTCTTGGTTCAACCTCCTCCCTATCCTTCTCCTCCACTTTCACCACTTTATACTCCTACCCTAAAATTCTCAGGCTCTATAAACCCCAACCTCCAGACCCTTACCCGACACACAAAAATAAAGCTCTCCAAAAAAATAAAATCCCTTCAAAAACTCTTACAAATTCAAAGGGAACATAATGATCTTATCACACAAGTCCACTCCCTGAATCTAGATCTAACAAAATCCCCTCTTAATCAACTTAAAATTTCTTACAAAGCTAAGACTAAGCCCAAAACATCTCAAATTTTCCCAATACTCCATTCACACACTGCCCGCGAGGACAAAGACACTCCCCCCTCACAACCAAACAAACAAAATAATTCCGGGGAGGAAACAAATGAGGCCAAAGACAGCCATCAAAAAACCCCAAATCCCTCTAACATGTTTGATCCACTCCGAGATCAAAAATATCATAAATTAAAATTTAAACATATTAAAAATCTTAAAAGCACTACTACCCTCTATGGACCATCGACTCCTTTCACATTATCCCTCACTGAATCTCTTAATGATGGGGGGTGGCTTACACCCAATGATTGACATCTTCTAACCAGGGCTATCCTCTCCCGCGAAAATTTTTTATTATGGAAGACAGATTTTACAAAAAGATATCAAACGATGGCCCACCAAAACGCTGCCGCTGAAAATAACTAAAAAAATTAGACACTTTCTAAAATGTTAGACGAGGCTCCTGACGACTCCAATAAAAAACAAACCCTTTTTCCCCCTGGGCTCCTAAATCAGATCAAAGATACCACCTTCTCCACTTAGAGGAATTTACCCTCTAAGGGATCACTCACCTCTTCTCTATCTAAGATCCATCAGGACATTAATAAACCATATAACAATTTTGTGAGACGACTAACTAATACCACAAAGAAATTATTTAATACAAGAAAAAATAAAAATGATTTTATTAAACAATTAACCTATAAAAATACAAACCCAGCCTATCAAACAACATTACGCGAACAACACCATGATAAAAAACTTTCTAAATATATTAAAATTTACTCTGGGATCAATCCTACCTCCCATAACATCACCTTGACCATCGGAGCTGCACTAAAGGCAGCTCCTACCTCTTCACAATTCAAAAATTATTATAAATATAATCAACCTGATCATACTTCTCAAAAATATCCTATTCCTCAAATTAAACACCCACCTCCCAATACTCTCTATCCTCATTACAAAAAGGACAAACATTGGACATCCCAATGTCTTTCAAAAACTAACGTCCAAGGCAACGCCCTTCCTCCACGATCAAAAAACTTCTCACGGACCCAACCCTGGGACCCCATTACATTCACCCAGACCGCGGGAATAAATCGGCCAGATCTCCAACCTCCCATGTTTCTAAACTCACAAAAACCACCCCAGACAACACAAGATTGAACCTCTGTCCCACCTCCACAACAATATTAACCCCTGAGGAAGATATAAAAATTCTTTCCACTAATATCTTTGGTCCTCTACCCCCCAAAACCTTCAATCTCGTGTTAGGGAGAGGCTCCTTGGCCTTACAAGGACTTCATGTTATCCCTAGAATCATAAATAATGATTATACTAATAAAATAAAAATTCTGACTACTACTTTTTCCGATCCACTCATTGTTCAGCCTAAACAAAAAATTACTCAATTAATTCTTCTTCCCATAGATCCCTCCTATTCTCATTTTCCCTATCATAAAACAAAAAGGGACCCTCGAGATTTCGGACATTCCAATGCCTTCTAGATTCAACAGATATCTGCTCATAGGCCTCTCCTAAAATTAAAGATTAAAAATAAAAATTTTAAAGGCCTTATTGACACCAACACTAATGCCTCCATTATATCTAAAAAATATTGACCTTCTTCTTGACCTATACAAACTTCGATTACCCACCTACAGGATATTAAACAAACCACAAACCCCCTACAGAGTTCAAAAATCTTACATTAGACTGATCCTAAAGGGAATCAAGAAACCTTTCAACCTTATATTATACCTTATATATCTATTAATTTATGGGGACATGATATACTTTCCCAAATACAACTTATAATATACAACCCTAATAAAATCGTTGCCCATCAAATACTAAAACAGGAATTTCTCCCCAAACAGGACCTAAATAAAGATACACAAGAGATAATTCAACCACTTTCTGTCAAACAAAAGCCAGATCGATCAAAAATAGGATTTAAAAATTTTCCATGATGACCATTAACATGCCTACTCCTCACACTGATAAAATATCTTAAAAAAATGACTCCCCAATGTGGATTGATCAATGGCCTCTCTCTTCAAAAAATTTATCAACTACTACCTTATTAATACAAAAACAACTAACTACTGATCATATTGAACCTACTACATCTCCCTAAAATACTCCCATTTTTATCAAAAAAAGATCTAAAAAATAGAGATTGCTCCAAGATTTACATAAAATCAATAAAACTATAATTCCCATGAATACTCTTCAACCCAGACTACCTTCCCCTATAACTATTCCAATTAGATATTCCAAGATTATCATTGATTTAAAAAATTATTTTTTCAATATTCCCCTTCATCCTACAGATCATAAGCGTTTTACCTTCAGCCTACCTATCACCAATTTCAGAGGACCCATACCTAGATATCAATAAAAGGTCCTCCCCCAAGATATGACTAATAGCCCCACCTTATATCAAAAATTTATAACTCAAACAATTAATCCCCTCAAAATACAATAGCCTTCAATTTATATTATACACTATATAAATGATATCCTCCTGACTAAACCTAATAATGATTCTCTCCTTAAGTATTCACAAGAGATATCCCAAACTCTTATTGCCATGGGACTCCAAATAGCCCCTAATAAAATTCAACTCAAACCCCCTTATTTCTTTTTAAGTTTTAAACTTTTTACCAACCAAATCCTTACCCAAAAAATATTTCTTAAGGTTGATCATTTGAGGACCCTCAATGATTTCCAAAAATTATTGCGAAACATTAATTGACTCCACCCTTATTTAAAATTAACTACAAAAAAATTAAAACCCCTTTTTAATATCCTCCAGGGAAATCCTGACCCAAATTCCCCCCAATCATTAAATATCACTACCCATAAAGCCTTACAATTAATTGAAAAAACCATTCAAGATCAAAATATTACCTTTATCTCCTATAAGAAACCCCTCTCCTTTATTATTTTTCCAACTTCACATACTCCTACAAGTTTATTCTAACAAAAAGGACAACTTCTTTAGATCCATCTACCCACTTCCCCTCAAAAAATTCTCACTCCCTATATTTCATGGGTCACTAAACTTTTACAATTGGCCAGAAAACAAAATATAAAAATCTTTAATAAAAAACCCAACAAAATTATTCTCCCATATTCATCAACCCAAATATCATGATTGATACAAAATGATGACAAATGGACCATTTCCCTCATTACTTTTTCCGATATCCTTGATAATCATTACCCCACCAATAGATTACTCCAATTTTTCAAAGTCCATCCAATAATTTTTTCCCAAAAAACTTCCCCTCACCCACTTAATGATACCAATCTAACATTCACTAATAACTCTTCCAATGGAATTGCCGCCTTCACTATTGACAATATTACTTAGAAAATTCATTCACCTTATAAATCTACACAATTAATAAAACTTTATACTATTTTACAAGTTTTCAAAAAATGTTCCAATAATCCTTTTAATCTTTATACTAATAACTCCTATTTAACCTCCTCTATTCCCTTATTAAAAACTATTCCTTATATTAAACCCACCACCAACACCACACCTCTTTTTTTAAAATTACAAAAACTAATTCATCAGAAAAATCATCAATTTTTTATTAAACATATTCATACACACTCTAATCTCCCTAAACCCTTGACTATGGGAAATAATATTACAAATAAAACCACTCAAATATTTCTCTCCATCAACCCAAATCCTATTAATCAAACTCAACAGACCCATACACTTCATCATCTCAATACCCATACATTACACCTTCTTTTCAAAATTACTCAAAAACAAGCTAGACAAATCATTAAAAAATATCAAAACTATATTACTCAATTACCTTCTCCCCATTTAAGAATTAATCCTCGAGGGTTAATTCCCAATAAAATTTAACAAATAGATATAACTCATATCCCTTCTTTTAAAAAACTCAAATATCTACATATCACAATTAATACCTTCAATAGATTTATTTATACCACTCTTCAAACAAGAAAAACATCCAAAAATGTTATATCTCATATCCTAACCTACCTCTCCATTATGGACAAGCCCTCTACAATTAAAACAAATAATGGCCCTGGATATACTACAAAAAATTTTCAAAACTTTTATAAACAATTACAAATATTACACATCACAGATATTCCTTATAATCCACAAGACCAAGATATTGTTAAAAAAGCCCATCAATCCATAAAAAATACCTTATATAAATTAAAAACAACCTCACTTTATCCCTCTATTAACTCCCCAAAAAATATTTTACATCATGCCTTATTTATCCTTAATTTCCTCACCTTGGATATCAATAAAAAATCAACTACTAACCATCTTTAACATCCCCAAACCAACAAACAATATACTAAAGTCATGTGGAGGGATCCACTCACGGCCACCTGGAGTGGCCCAGATCCTATCCTCATTTGGGACCACGGTCATGCCTATATCTATAATACATCAAACAAAACTACCAGATGACTTCCTAAAAAATTCCTCAAACAAATAAATTCTTTTAATAATTAACCTTTTTTATCCAAATGATCTACATCCCTGAGACTCTCTCTTTTTTCTTTCTAGATTTCCAAGGCCAAAATGCCCTCAAACATAAATTTCCAACCCTTACTTCTCCTAATCTTCATCAAAACTTCATATAGAGATTTTAACAATCCCAACAAAACTCAACTTCATCTTCAACAACAACAAGGAAGTCCCTACCAATGCCTTGGAGGCACTTCCTCGAATTATACTCACCCCACTGGGATATATCAATCTCAAGATTATGAGGATAAAATGACTTATCTTCTATATCAATCTGGATCTAAATGGAAATACATCCCTAAACCTAAACCCCTCCCTCCATCCCCAGATGACAGACTCCCCCCATATCCTTACCAAACATTTAAAAAATCCATACATTCCTCCTATTATCAACAATACCAAAAATACTTCCAAGGGAATAAAATATATTATACTGCCACCCTCCTCAAAGAACAATCAACTACCCTTGGAGGTGATTAATCTAATAACCCCCAAATCCTTGGATCAATCAATAAACTCATGACCACTAAATATTCTGGAGAGATTAGACAAAAAATTTATTGACATCACTCTCCCTCTGTTTACATTACAGATGGGGATGACCCCCAAAATCAGGCCAAACAAAAATATATTAAAACTCATATTGATCAAATCATTGAGACACAAATCCCTTCTCTTAAATATCATCCCTTAACCAATATTCATTCCCATACAAAAAACACATTAAATGAGACCACCCTTGATATTTTGATTCAAACCCACCAACTTCTAAATATCACCAATCCCTCATTAACTCAGGATTATTGGCTCTGCCTTAAACAGGACCCATTTATTCCCTTAACAATTCCCCTGCCTAATATTAATTTTAATTTTAATATAACTAATTACTCTATTTTTTCCCCTATTCTAATAGTTTTAAAATCCCCTCTTCCTTATAATTTTACCCCCCAATATATTTATAATATACCTTTAAATGATAATTTTAATATAAATATAAAATTTATTACCTTTGTTAATTATAGTTATTATCAAAATATTATTAATCACACAACCTTATATTCTAAAAATTCTCTATATTTATTTATAAAAATTCTTATACATATTCCTTTTTACCTCAAAATTGGACAAATACATAAACACTACTATTTTACCCAATATTAATATTATTTCAAAAAATACCCCTATCCCAATTCCCACTTTTAATTTTATAACTAGAAGACCCAAACGGACTATACAACTCATTCCCTTAATAATTGATCTAGAAATTTCTACAACTATTAACACCGGGACCACCAATCTAGATATCTCCTTACATAAATATACCAAATTATCTCAACAATTAATTAATAATATTCAAACTTTATCTAATACTATACAATTTCTACAAGATCAAATTAATTCCCTCACAGAGGTTATCCTTCAAAATAAAAGAGATTTAGATATACTCACCACCAAACAAAAAAAAATCTGTCTTGCCCTCCAAGAACAATGTTGTTTCTATGCAAATAAATCTGATATTGTCAGGGATAAGATCAAAACCTTACAGGAAGATTTAGAAAAACATAGAAAAGAATTACATAAAAACCCCCTATAAACTGGGCTCAATGGGTTTCTACCTTATCTCCTCCCTTTATTGGGGCCCCTATTAGGGCTCCTGATATTATTAACCATCGGGCCTCTAATATTTAAGAGGCTTACAGCCTTTATTAAACAACAGATAGATACCATACAAGCCAAAGCCATTCAAATCCATTACCATCATCTTGATCTGGCCGATCAAGAGGAAAATTACTTACAGATCCAAACATCTATAAAGACTAGAGGATAAACCTAACATCTGAGAGGTCCAAAAGAAAATATTACCAAGTCCTTACAATCACAGTTACTAGAGGGCCTTAAAATATCCTTCAAGTCTTCCGGAGACTTCTCCTCTTACTACAATTAACCCCAATGACAGATAAAACAATCAATACCTAACTGATCAACCTAAGACAGGGACTTCTATCGAGATATCAAGACCATCTTTTCCTCTATCAACAACTTACTTCTCTGACACCCCTCTACATAACCTCCCCTCATTAACTTACATAATATATATCCCTTCCTCAATTTTTAGAATGGAGAAGGGGGAGATGTGGTAGACTAAGCTGCTAGCCTGTCCTAAGTAAAAACCAAACAACTTCCATGTTGACCCACTGATCACCCCATCAACACAATTATGTCATTACCCATGACAACAAATTTACATAAAAAAATAATCTAGGTCATTACCCAATAACATTATATTACACTATTGTTACATTCTCCTCTCAAAGTTTATGATTAACTATTTCCTCTTACAATTTTACAGTTTTTGCCTTTATAAACTGCCTATATCTACAAATAAATGAAACCTTAACAACTCTTTGCTTGGTCTCCTTCTTTCCACACCCCTCTTATCTCATTTCCAAATACTTCCCCTTCTCAAACTCTACCAATTACTAACCCCACAAACCGGGACAACCTCAGCAGGGCCCTAATCCTTGGGGTCTGAATGAGATAAAAGGGGCAGAAGGTGCTGTTAACCCTCTCTCATTACCTCTGCTGCCTTGTGTCATCTCGTTCCTGCTCTGCCATGCTTGTTTGTCATCCCTGCTTTGGAATCAGCTGATTATGATATCATCTTTTTTTTTTTTTGTTACTGGGGATCAAACTCGGGACCTTGTGTTGCAAAGCAGCAGAACCACTGAGCCAAATCCCTAGCCCTAGAGTTAGCTGATTATGGACTGAAACTTCTATGAACTGTGAGCCCAATAAGACCCTCCCCTTTTAACTTTGCGTGTCAGGTATTGATTGTGTCTCGGCAAAGAGACAGAAAGGTAACTAACGCACCCTCCCACCCTATTTGGCTTTCCTTTGCCATGCAAACACTTGAGAGAACAATGTGGACAACATACCTGGGCTCCACACAGGGATGCAATCGTGATATCACAGAAGTGTGCTGATGTTTAAAAAGAAGTGGCCAGAAGATATATATTTTAATGGCATCACAGTAATCGTGCAGGTCAGAAACTGGTTTACTACACCATATGCTGCAGATGTCAAATTCTTAATTAAAATTAAAAAAAAATTTTAAATTAGTCTTTGTGCCTTACCATTGAAAGAATCAACACTGTTGACAGAGAAATGGTAAAACGGGCTACAAAAGGCAAGGAATGAAAGGATGACATATTTTAACTGGTTAGATACCAAGAATATTTAAGTGTTGGCTAAAACTTTTTTTTTTCCTTTTGGTACTAAGGATTGAACTTAGAACCTTGTGCTGGCGAGGCAGGCACAGCATCATTGAGCTAAATCCCTAGCCTCTAAAACTATTTTAACAAAGGAAGGTTTTAGTTTCTAGTGAAAAAAAACAGAATACATTTTGAAGAGGCATAAATCTTTAATTTGATCAGAATAGACGGATAGACTTCCCCTTATGGGTCTGTCAATACATTCACATTAACCTATCAATATATACTCACCTAAATTTCTCTCCGTTTGGGCATAATCTTTATACTGTGAACCCTAAAAAGAAGAAAATTATTTTTATTTGTATCTGCTAAAATGAAAAAGTATAATTCTTGGTTTTTTATCTAGAGCATAACGGAAATGAACTAAAAAATTTTTGGTACCTATTTACTTAAATTCTTGAACACACCTTTAGCCAATAAGCCTTAATTTAAGCCCTTGTTCAGTGCTTCCTGAGTTTGTTTCTATAGGCAGCCCAACAGCTTTTCTAATCCTCAGTAAGAAAACCACACCTCACCATCACCTGTTCTCTGACATCTATATTCTTATTACTGAAGTGCTGTTTATTTTCCTATGTGTATCTTCCTGTCGAAACCCATGCACCACAAAAACATCTTGCATTCAGACCACCTAAAGCAGAAGGCCTTAGGACTGTGACAGTTACCCGTTGTCTCAACTTGAATAAGAACAGAAGACCCACTCTGGGTGTGAGTGGCACCAATAAACAGGCTTAAAGCCTGGACACAATAAAAAAGGGAGAAAGAAGAAGGTTCCCTTATTTGCCAGAGGAAGAGCTTCCTCGCCCACTTTGGTGAGGACAGGGAATTGGCCTCTCCTCTCGGGGAATTGGCCTCTCCCCTTTACCTGAGGAAACCAATCCTGTGCTGCCAAGCATGACAATGCTGACGCTCCTCAGGATCTACCCTCACCACCCGCTTTTGCCTCTAGATGAGGCTCAAACTGCAGAAGGCTCCTAAAGGTGAGGTACAGCATGTGACCCACGACGAGGTCCACTGCTGCTCCAAAGAACTTCTTGAGTTTTCTAACTCTTAGAAGCACAGGTCTGATAATAAGTGTGGGAACGGATTTCAAGGATGTGGGATAATGGTGCCAAAAAAGACCTGGAACAGGCTGAATGTGTCAATATGGGCCCATTAAGGAGAGATTCTGAATTTAATGTTGTAGCTTGTGAAGTAAAAAAAAGGTGTTAAAAGTTCACTGTGTATGGCTGGAGGCACACGCATGGATCAAAAGATGGCCCAGTGTGAATGAGTTAGAAATGCCTGATATTCCTTGGTTTACTGCTGATGAAAGGATTTAAAGGCTCAGAGAAATGGGAATGACAGAATGGATTTGTCACGTTAAACCTAATCTTTCACACTGGGAGGATGAGAAAAATGCTCCCCTCACTAAAACTGAGATTCACAAGGGGAGCACCAGCACCCCTAAAGAGCCCTGTCCCTGCTCTTCTCTATATGCCAGACCTCACATAGGGGACTGTGGTTACTCAACTGGGAAACTTAAGGGTGATGCGTTTAACTGGATTTCAGAGTGGCAGGGGTCAAGTGGCAGCACTTAACCAGCAGACACAAGGTCCATGCGCTTACCATAATGGATAGCAGAAGCACAGCAATCATGGAAGTGGCTGGACAAGCACAGACCTACAGTGTTAGCTGATTAGCCATAGTGTTCCCAAAAGGGAAATAGACTGGAAGCCTACTAGGTTTTTACTAGATTTAATATTATCAAAAACAATTAAGGGAAAATGAAACCTACTTCATCATGGCCCCTCAATCAGTCCCCAAGTTTCAGCCAGTTTACAGATCAAGAACTCCTTGAATGAAGGCAAAGCCAGGCCCCCTTGAGATCCCTGGTGCACCACCAAAAGTTTCACAGTCAGTCTTTCTCCCATCCTTCCCAAAAGGACCTATGATTACCAGGACAAATGTACACTGGGGGAAGGGAAATGAGCAGATACTACAGAGACTAATGTACACTGGTTCTGAGCTAACACTGATTCCAGGAGATCTAAAACACCATTACGGCCCTCCAGTTAGAGTAGGAGTACACGGAGGTCAGGTAATCGATGGAATTTTAGCAAAGGTCTGACTCAGTGGGTCCAGTACTACAGGTCCTCAAATCCATCCTGTAGTCATTTCTCCTGTTCCAAAATGCATAATTGGGATAAATATACTTAGTACTCCGCAGAATTCTCACACTGGTTCCTTAACCTGTACTATGAGAGCCCTTATAGTTGGAAAGGCCAAATGGAAACCATTTAAGTTGCCTTACACCTGGTTAAATAGTAAACCAAAAACAGTATCGTTCACAGAGATTGGTGGCACTACTGAGGACCTGAAGGATACAGGGGCGGTGGTTCCCAACACATCTCCATTTAATTCTCCCATTTGGCCTCTGCCGAAGACAGATGGGTCTTGGAGCATGGTGGTGGATTACCATGAACTGCATCAAGGGGTGACTCCAACTGCAGCTGCTGTACCAGATGTGGTTTCCTTACTCTCCTGGTACAGTGGTACCTTGGTTCATGAATGCTTCTGTTTGCAAACAACTTGGTTCACAAACAAAAACATGTGGCAAAATTTTGTTTTTGTTTGCAAACTACATCTGGTGACCACGACTATCTTTCCTATACAAGCACAAACATGGCCATCTTTTCCAAAATCGTGGAACACATTTAAGTTCATTAACTAAGGTACCACTGAACCAAGAATGCAGCTACTGAGCTGTCAAAAGCCCTCTTCGCCATACCTCTCCACAAGGCCCATCAGAAACAATTTGCTTTCAGCTGGCAAGACCAACAAATCACCTTCATTGTCTTACCTCAGGGTTATATTCACTCTCCAGCCCTGTGTCACAACTCAGTTTGTAGCAATCCTGACCATCTTTCTTTTCTATGTAATTAATATCACACTGGTCCATTACATTGCTATCGTGCCAATTGGACTAAGCGAGCAGGAGGTAGCAAACATTCTGGACTTGTGAGTAAAGCGTTAGCGAGCCAGAGGATGGGAAAGAAATCCAACTAAAATTCAAGCTTCTGCTACCTCTGAAATTTCTAGGAGTCTAGTGGTGTGGGGCATGCAGAGATATCCCTTCAAAATAAAGAGATATCCTAAGATGTTGCATCTGGCTCTCCCCTATAACCAAAAAGAGGCACAAAGCCAAACAAACCTACTTGTAATTTTGAAGCAACACATTTTTACTTAGGTATTTTGCTCCAGCCCATTTACTGTGTGACTCAGAAAGCTGCTATTTTTGACTGGGGCCCAGAACAAGTGAAAGTTCTATACCAGGCCCAGGCTGCTCTGCCGATGAGGCTGTAGGACCAGCAGGGCCAATGGTACTTAAGTGTCAGTGGTAGATAGAGACACTATTTGGAATCTCTGGCAGGCCCCCATAGGTCAATCACAGCAGAAGTCTTCAGGATTTTGAGCAAGGCTCTACAGTCATCTGCAGATGATACTACTCTTCCTTTGAAAAACAGATCGAGCCTGCTACTTAGTAGAAACTGAACATTTGACCTCAGGACACATAGGTTACTATGTGACCTGAGTTGCCCATCATGGGCTAGGAATTATCTGATTTACCACATCTTAAAGTTGGTATGTTGCACAGCAACAGTCTACCACTAAATGGAAGTAGTTTATACATGAACAAGCCAGAGCAGGTCCAGAGGGCACAAGTAAGTTACATGAAGAAGTTGCCCGGATGCTCATGGTTCTTAATCCTGGTATATGGCTTTCCGTGTCCCAGCATGCACCTACAGCCTACCACATGATCAGCTGTCAGAGGAAGAGAAGGCAAGGGCCTGGTTTACAGATGGTTCTGAACATTATGCAGCCATCACCCCCAAGTGGGCGACTGCAGCATTACAGTCCCTTTCCAGGACATCCCTGAGGGACAGTAGTGAAAGGAAATCTATACAGCAGGCAGAACTCAGGCAGTGCACCTGGAAGTACACAGTGGCTAGAAAAAATAAATGGCCAGATGTGCGACTATATACTTATTCATGGGCTGTAGCCAATGGTCTGGCCAGATGGTCAGGAACTTGGAAGTAACATGACTGGAAATATGGTGACAAGATACCTCGGGAAGAGAAATGTAGGTAGACCTCTCAAGATGGACAAGGGATTTAAAGGTATTTGTATCCCATGAAAATGCTTACCGAAAAGTGACCTCAGCAGAAATAATCAAGTGTATTGGGATGACCTGTTCTGTAGATAACACTCAACCTTGCTCTTCAACTACCCCTTCACTGCCCATTGGGCTCATGAACAGAGTTGCCATGGTGCTAGGGATGAAGGTTATGCATGAGCTTAGCAACATGGACTCCCACTCACCACCAAGGCTATCTGGGTACAGCCACTGCTGAATGCCCAGTGTGCCAAAAGAGACCAGCACTCAGTCCCTCATATGACACACTCCTGTGCCCTGGTGGCAGGTTGATTATGTTGGACTGCTTCCATCATGCAAAGGACAGCCCTTTGACCTTACTGGCACAGACACTTATTCTAGGTATGGGTTTTCCTTTCCTGTATGTAATGCTTCTGCCAAAATTACCACCCGTGAACTTACAGAATGTCTTCTCCGCTCATGGAATTTCACAAAGCACTACCTCTGACCAAAAAACACATTTAATGGCCAAAGAAGTGAGGCCCATGGAATGCTCTAATTTTACCATCTTCCTCATCGTCCAGAAGCAGTTGAATTGACAGAAAAGTGGAATGGCCTTTTGAAGCACCAGCCAGGAGGCAACAGCTTGCAGGGCTGGGGTATCTTCAAAAGGCTGTATATGCTTTGAATCACTACTATATGGTGCTGTGTCTCCCACGCTAGGATTCATGGGTCCAGGAATCAAAGGGTAGAAGTGGGAATGGTGCCACTCACCACTACCCTTAATGATCCGCTAGCAAAATTCCTGCTTCCTGTTCCCATGACTTTATGCTCTGTTGGCCTAGAAATCTTAGTCCCAGAGTGGGGAAACTTGGTATGTACTAGGAAGCACAACAATGATTCCACGGAACTGGAAGCTAAGACTTACCCCTGGTCATTTTGGACTCTTCACACCTCTGAATAAACAAGCTAAAAAGGGAAGTTATGTGTTGGGGTGACTGATCCCGACCATCAAGGGGAAAATGAACTGTTATACTACAATGGAAGAGAGAAAGAATATACTTGGAGTGCAGGAGATCCCTTACGGGGCATCCTAGTATTACCATGCCCCATTAATAATGGGTCAATCAGAAACTATTGCAACCCAGTCTGGGCAGAATGACAAATGGCCCAGAACCTCCAGGAATGAAGGTCTGAGTCACCCCACCAAGGAAAGAACCTAGATCTGCTGAGGTGCTTGCTGAAGGCCAAGGGAATACAGAACAGGGAGCAGAAAAGGGTAACTATAAATACTAGCTACAACCCCACGGTCAGTTACAGAAACAAAGATTGTAATATAATAGTTCTCTCCTGATATGCTTCCTATATGATATTATACTGACAGACTTAATACTGGTTCTTAAGTATTGTATATGTTATATTATATTATATTATATTATTCAAGTTATAAAATGCTAGGAGTCAGCACCATCCAAAGAAAACTTACCTTCTCTTCTGGGAAGGAAATTAGTGTGTTTCCATTTGTACACAGGAAAACTGTACTATGATAGGCATAATTATGAACTTATCTTTATCTGGAGACTAAATATGGTTTAAGGAATGTGTCTAATTGTCAAGTTGATGGGGTGGATTGTGATAGTTAACTGTTGTGTCAGCTTGTGTAAGAAACACCTAACTGGCTGGATTAGCACAGTTCTGGGTGTGGCTGAACGGATTTACTGAAGACAGAAGACTCACCCTGGGTGGGAGTGGCACCAACCAATAGGCTTGAAGCCTGGAAAGGAATAAAAAGGAGAAGAAAGCAGGCTCGCTTCGGTTCCTCTGGAGGAGCTCCACTCTGCCTTTGCCTGGGATGCCATCTCCTGACTTCCACCTTAGACTCTTCAGCCTTGCATCATAGAGCTTCTTCTTCTTCTCTTGGTACCAGGGATCGAACTGGGGACCTTGCGCTTGCGAAGCAGGAGGCAGAACCACTGAGCTAGATCCCCAGCCCACAGCTTCTTACTAGCTACCTACACAGGATTCTACTGGGAGCTGCAGGCCTTTGACTTTTGACTGGATCCTTCAGGTCTTCAGTGCACAGGCAGCCTGGACTCTTCCACACCTGACTGTGCAGGAGGCCATGGAAAGTCTACCTTGTAAATCTGTGTTGTGTGTGTGTATATGTGTGTATATATTAAATCTGTCTCCCTAGAGAACGCTGATACAAACATGTTAAAAGTAAAATGTAACAATTCTACTTACCACTCCATCACAGTAAAGCTGAGTCACCCGAACATAATTTGCCGTCATAAGTTCAGGCGCAAAGGCACCCTCTTCCTCATCAGGGCAATCGTCTAACAAGGCATAATCCACCACAGAGAGGTCTCCCTCAGCAAAACCGTCCATGGTTCACAGTCCTAAGGAAGCAACACACACCCAAATCAGTAACTGATTCCTCAGAGATACCACAAGCAGCAGTTTTCCTGGCTTCTGTGCTATAGTATAAAAAAAATCTAGAACCCTCCAAGGGAGGAATTCCAATCAGAACACTAAGCTCTGAACAATTCTTGTCCCTAACCTGCTGGGAAAGTTTTCCCCTCTCTCCAAAGAGTTCAACCTATCTTCATTTTCTTAGGTTCATATATTCACCCATCTCTACTCTGAATAGATCTGGTTTTAGAGGGAAGATAATTATGAGCATCTTATTTATTTTCTGAGTGCCTAGCACACACTCACTATGCCCTAAGTGTTGCTGAATATAAAGACATTTTCTCACTGATGTACCCATTTACCTACCTACTTTTACTGTGTCCCATGAAGCATGCCTCTTCATTGTACAGAAACTCCAACATTCTCGACCTCCTGGCCTGAACTAAATCTTGATGCCACTGACAAAGTGCTCCTAAGTTCCATGTGGCCTAAATGTCTCTCAATGTGTCTCTCCCCTGCGTAAGGGGGCAGGACGAGTGGTCCAGGGTGAGTCTGTCAATCTCTCCACTCCCACAGCCACAGCCCGCCCTGCCATTCCGCTAACCATCCCTGCTTCTAACACTACCAACTGCCACGGAACACCACTGCTAACCACAAAAAGGAAAATTTCCACGTTATAAAAGATATGTTTTAACAATACTTGAAAAGAGAAACTAGGGCTTGAGTTTCAGACTCAGTTTTTTGTTTTTTTAATATAGCTATTAGAGGAACGCCAAATAGCACTGAAAAGTGGAGCATAGCATTACTTCTGGCTCTCGCACACAATGGCTTTCTTCTCCTGTCATCACCGGTACCATCATTAACAACATTTCTTACAGTTAGACCAAACCAAGTTTCTTTTTTCCTAAGCAAGCCCACCATCGGACTATGAAAGAGATACATTTTATATCAACCTTTACATCAAAGTCTGAAAACCTCACAATGTCAGACGTCAAGGATAGTAAGCTTCCTAACAAACCAGCCATACTGTCACGTACTGAAGGGCGTGTGCTCCCAGTATCACCTCATGGCCCTCACGGCAGTTCCCAGCAGACCCTCCTTTCATCAGTTCCACCCTACAGGTGGGAAAACAGTCTGCAAAACTAAGTGTTGTGCTCAAGGTCACCAAGCTAGGAATGAATCAAAGTCAGTCCTCTGATTCCACGGTCTCTTTTCTTGAACACTGCATTTTACTGCATCTACTTTTCCTTGCCACTGCCACCTGCTGTCCTTTTTAAGAATGCTGCTGCGTACTTCCTTTCTCTTCTCCAAAATCCTCCAGTATCCCAGCCACAACAAGGCCAGTGCAGTCAATACCCCAGCTTTGCAGTTTTCCTCCTCCACGAACACAAACCTCAGCGCCCGTCTCCCTAGGGTCCTCCTATCAGTGTCAGCCACGGCACACAACTAAACCAGTTTTCAGTTCTCTACCCACAACTAGTTATCATAGCTCACCCTTCCCTGTCTCCCTTCACCGCTGTTTATTAAACTCCTCAAGAAACCCACACACACACTGGAATTCTCATTTCTCACTTTCCTATAATTTAGTTTCCATTTCTACCATTCAAGGGAAACTACTTATATATTTAAGGTCACTGATGACTTTCTATATAGAGTATTATCTATAATGTCTGGAACTTCACCTGTTCTGCATGAATAATATTTCCAGTTTGAAGAAGGTAATTCCAAAAGTAAATGGCCTGCTGAGCGTGGTGGTACGTGCCTATAATCCAGCAATGGGGAGGCCGAGGCAGGAAGACTGCCGTCAGTTCAAGGTCAGTCTGGGCTATATTGTGAGTTCAAGGCCAGCATGGAATTCATAGCAAGACCTCATTTCAAAAAGTGAATTGCCAGAAAAAATAAAACAATATAGCATCCAAGAGCATTTAATATGAGATTTAGTATAATGAAAAATGTATACTTTTAAATTCACTTTTCTTACAAACTATTTTTTGTATATAAATACAGAAAGAGCCCAGAACTGTCACAGCCCACGTACCGCTCACCCCCATCATGGCGCTGATTACAGTACAGCTGCCAGTCATTCAACCTTGCGGATCTCATGATACCATGTGCATCAAACTATACTGTAATTACAACATCCATTCTGTTCAACTAGAGAGGCAACGTGGTAAAATGGTTAAGAGCATGGAATGGCCTGGGCTTGAATCCTGATTCTCCTGTTTCCTGGCTGTGTGATTCTGGGTGTTACTAAAATTTTCTGGGCTTCAGTTTCCTCATATTTCAGGTGGGGATAATAATACCACCTACCTTATTATCAGTTAAAATATGTAATGTGCTTGGAATCCTATAAGGCACAAATGATGTAAATACCAGCTGTTATTAAGATTAATATTAGATGAATACTTTTTTAAAAAAAACTCCTGTTTAAGATGCTTCCAGCTTGGGCCGGGGAATTAGCTCAGTGGCACAGCCTCTGCATTGCAAGTGCAAGATCCTGAGTTTGATCCCTGGTACTGGGTGGTCGGGGGTGCTTCCAGCTAAACGGTCTACCTTAATGATACATTCAAAAAGCACTTTTCAGCTTATAACTTACTTGGTGCTGTGGGCCACTTCCTCCTCCTCCTCAGAATGCGTTACATGTACTCCAAAGACCATCTTCTGAGTCTCCTCCTATTCGTCTGGCTGCTCTTCCCCAGTTTCCTTCATGAGCTCCTGTCCACACCCCACCATTACACGTCCATTCCTTTTTCTTCTCATTCTTACTCTCTCCTTGGTGACTGTTTCCATCCCACTCATGATTTAAAACAGCACTTTCTGGACTTTCATCATTTGTAAAGCTTTGCCACGACTTTTACCACTTCCACAAATCACATATTTTTATTTAAAATATTTCCCTTTCATTGTACTCACAGGAGCTATGTGATAATGTCCATGCTATAACTTTGTACAAGTTGTGTTTGTCATGTACATCCCAGGAAATTTCTAACTGTTAAAAATTCTTGAGTTTGTCTATGTACCACTTAAAATGATCTCAAGTGATAGTGTAGAAAATGATGGCTTCCAAACTTCCAAACCTAAAAACTCCCAACCTCTCCAGGCTGGGTTCCATCTCTTGCCTTCTAGGCCTTCCATGTCAAGTGCTACAGGATTTTAACCAAGATGTGCCACAAGACTCTCAGGGGCTCAATAAGGTAAAAAACAAACATCATTTTCCTCAAAAAAAAAAAAAAAGTGAAACCAAGTTCTTTCCTCTTTCTGTATTCTATTTATCAGTTAACAGATCTACATGCCACAGGTTTACCCAAAAGAAAGATCTAAGATACAATCTACACTCACTCCCCAGTCTCCTTCAACATTTCTGTTCAACTGACCACTAAGTAATGTCATTTCTACTTCCTTAAGAAATCTAAATTTAGGGCCAGGGATTTAGCTCAGTGGTGCCACTGCCCGCCTTGCAAGGGCAAAGTCCTGAGTTCCATCCCTTGTACAACAACAACAATAACAACAACAACAAATCTAAATTTAGCATACATAAAAACTCTTTCTGCCCAGTCCACTCACTGTCTTAGTTGGACCTTCATCTTTTCTCCTGAACTAAGGAAATAACCAATCTCCTAACTCATGGCCTGCCTTCAATCCTGGCATCCTTTAAAATTCTGACATCACTTTGCTGCTTAAAATCATTCCATGCCTTCCCTTCTCTGTCAGAAAAAAGAGCAATCTCCCTACTATGAGCACAGAGAGTCTTGCATGATGATCCTACTTCTCCCATCTCCAGTAAGACGCAACTGCTCATCATTCCTTAGCAAGCCTTATCCTAATCGTCTCACGCCCATCAGCACGTGGTACTCAATTCCAGGAGCTATTCCCTGCTTTTCCCACTACACCGCGTTTACTGCAGTTTTCACAGTTTCGTTCAGGACAGCTTTCTCTCTACAAAGTCGCTATTCACCCAGAAGATACACTGTGTAATCTGCTCACCGCCTATACTGTTACTCAACTTAAAAATTTTCTTTAGAATAATCTAACATTTGGGCCGGGGATTTAGCTCAGTGGTGCTACAGCCTGCCTTGCAAGCACAAGGACCCGAGTTCAATCCCCTGTACCAGGAAAAAAAAGAATAACTTAACATTTAATTAAATGTAAGCTTGTTGTAACAAAAAATTTGCTATCACCAAGAAATCTTATGTCGGATATGATAGATTTTTTTTCTAATACAAACTGAAATACACTACTTAAGTTAAATATTAAAATAAAGGACTTGTCAAAAATAAAAATATAATAAAAAGGTCTTCTCATACCTTCAGTTATGGTGAACTAGATATTGAAGGACTCTATCAGTTGCTTTTTTTAAAAGGGCCTAAATTTTTAAAATTTCTGATGTTCTGCTGAGCTCACAGGAAGAACACTTACAGCCAACCTTTCCATGGAAAAGCAACAAAGCTTGTGCTGGACAGTAAACCTGGCAATCAAGAGAGGCAGTGGGGTCAGGATGGGAACCCTGGCCCAGAAGTACAATGTGGGAACCTAATAGGAGTCCCAATTCAACTCCATTTCCTGCTCGGTGCCAAAGCTGGTACAAGTACTTCGAGAAGGAAAGCACCCCCAGGTTAATCTCAAGACTCCTACAGATACAACAGGTGTTATCTGCTGTGGCCAAGCCCAGGAGGTGACAAGCAGGCAAGACCTCCAAGACAGAAAGGCAACAGGAAACAAGCACTCAATTCGGATCTGAGGACAGGAGACTTGAGACTGCCTCATACAGTCTACTGGCTACAGGTTCACAAAAATGAGCAAGCAATATAAGCCAAGAAAAAATGGGTGTATCTGAAAAAGACCAAGTGGGACCTCTAGAAATTAAAAGCACAATTGTTAAAGTTTCTCTTGAAGGATGAGATAAAGGGAAGATTAGGCAAAGAGGAAGAGAAACGTGATGTACTAGAATATAAGCCTGATGAAATTATCTGGCACTATAAACTCTGCT